TTTTAATATAAATCATTTCCTGAATTAGTCTTTTATTGTAATTAGGTTCTTTGACTAAAATTTTAGTTTGATTAAAATTAAAAGAATGTTTTTTTTCCTTCATATGTTTATTAAGAGCAGTAGAACAGTTTTTTGTATATTTGTGGCCTTTTAATCTGTTTTCTAAATTTTGTGAAGTCATACCTATATATTGACTATTGCAATCATTACATGGAATAGAATATACAACGTGAGAGTTTTTTAAAATAGGAGTTTTACTTTTTAAAGGTGTAAATAATTTATTTAATTGGTTGAAAGATTTATGAGCAACAGAAATTTTATACCTGGATAAGATAAATTTAATTTTTTCAGATAAACATTGTATATATGGTAGTGCAACATACTGAATGTCCGTAGAATTTTGATCAGAACTTACAATATTTTTCTTTCTTGATTTATTATAAAATGTAAATATTCTTTGTTTAATAATTTTGTTAGTGAAATTAGACGGATAATTGTTATTTCTTAATATATTTTTTATTTTATTAATGATTTTAGGCCGGTAAATTGGACTAGTTAAATATAATGCTCTGTTAGTTAAACCAATTACAACACTTTTTTTATATGTTATAGGATGGTGGGAATTAAAATTTAGATATCTGCCAGATGAAATAGGTTTTGTATACTATTTAGTTAAAATTTTATTATTTTTACGGATTAAAGTTAAATCAAGAAAGTTAATTTCGTTATTATTTTCAATTTCAATGGTAAATTGTAATTTGGGATGAAACTATTAAAAGTATTTAAAATATCATTAATTTTGACTTCAGAAAGTGCGATAATGCAATCATCAACATATCTTTTGAAAAATAATATATTATGTCGTATTCCAACCTTCGAGCGGTCTTCAGGATTTTGGAACCCTCAGTAGACACCCAGACATCGTTCCGTATCCGCGAACATGCCTGCGGCCATCAGATTGGTCAAATTCACCTACCTTTCCAATCCAATCAGAAAAGCCGCCACGGTTGGAAGTCCCGCCGCCGTTGCCGTGCCAAGGGACGGGTAATTCCACCGCGGTACATTTTCTATCATCCGGCTCGATGCCGTCCGAGACCCAAGCCCGCGACTAAGCATCCCAGTGCGGACGTCGCCCTATGAAATAACACCGATCTCTCCGGCGATAGCGCCGCCGAAGTCCAAAGACCAATTTCGCCGATGTTTCGCCCACATCGCGGCCGATCTCGCCTGGGTCTGCCATCCCTGCGCTCGGTATCTACTACAGCGACCCTCGCAACCTGCAGACGAACCCCAGCGCAATTTCACTCATCTTTACAATTGGTTTAAGGACGCTATCGCCTATAACTCAAGAACATATTGAGAGATCCGTCTCAAAATTTAATGCAGCACTCTTCAAGTCGCTGGTATTATTCCATTAAAATTTCATCCGAATCGGATGAGCAATAACGCCGTTATAATGGGAAACGTGGATTTTACGCTTTCCGCGTTTTCAGCCGTTCCGCTCATTAGATCTCGGCCGAACCCCAAAACTACCATAGAGCTTCCCTATGTGGTTATCACTTTCAAATTCGAGCCGAATCGTGTGACTACTAACGGCCTGCTAATTCATAATAGGATTTTACGTTTTCCTCGATCTCGACCCTCCAACCACGGTACCACTCCATGCCGTGCATCACCATACCACTTCTGAACGAGATCCATCCTGTACTAAGAACTCCATAAGCCCTTTTAAGAAGACGGGAAAAATTTCACCACACTCCAATTTTCACGTGTTTGGGCCAAAAGGACCGTCTTGCGAGGGTCCCACTGCTCTGGAGGTTGGATGCGATGATCGGTAGTCTAAGCCGAGACCGAGGATGGAGTTTTCCCAAAATTGGCAAAAACCAAAAATCCCGATGCCGACAACTATCCGGAGAGGCCAGAGGGGCACGAGATCCGACGTCGACGATGGACGCTTTTTGATAGACTTTTTGGCGGACAACTCAAGAGCTCCCCGCCAAAAATATGGAGATTCGACTACATTACTGGAGGGCGATCGAACGTCTACTCGCAGCGTTTGCAGTTCATTAGTGGGAGTACATATCGCGTAAATGAGCGATACAGAGCATATTGTAATAAATATTTTCTATGATAAAGACTTGTGTATGTTAATTAAGAGAATCTTATTGTCCGTTGCATACTGTCTAATAAAATCTTTTAACATATCTTCCACGGTTTGATATAAAAACCTTGACACCAAATCCAAGTCATTTGGAGCTCATAAGCTCACAGGCTCGCTTAACGAGATTCCGTCAAGCCTGCCTACCTTCGACGAAGTACCTTACGAGGTAATATAGTGCTTAGCAATCACTACTCGCTTCACGAGATATTCCGCCCGAGGTAGCCCAACCTGAGGCGAAGACCCAATCTGATAGCCAGCGGCTCTATTGAGACCTCGCATCAATCGAGGTATATTCCCAGGCTCCTTTTGAGACGTGTCGTACCGTCCGGGCTGACCACCTCCGACGAAGACCCTGTCTCCGATTGTGCCGGCTCTATATCGAGACCCGTACCTCGGAACAGTGGCACACCTAGGCTCCATCGAGTCCTATCATACAGACTCCGTTGAGTTCTGCAAATCCGAGGCAACTTTCCTCGTTAAACCTCTAAGAGGCCACTCGTCGAGGCAACCTTCCTCGTCATACCCCTACGAGACATTATCTTTGAGGCCCACGTGCTTAAAGTCTCCACGCACGTTATTGTGGCGGCGTACTCAAAATTATAGAAGTCATCCTTGCTTCTCAGGGCTCCCTCGAGAGATCCACATTTAGTAGAGTCAGTGAAACTACTAGACCTCCGAGCAAAGCTTGCTCAGCCATTGTCGGACGGGGTAAAGTGTATCCCTCCTACACGACGAGTGCTACGAGGATTGGTGACCTCGAAAATTCACATATACTGTGTTCCTTTCACCAGTTTGAAACAAGAAACTGTGCTTAAAGGTTATGTTATATCGTTGACGTTTAACGTAGGCAGACATTTATACTTATATGGAAATATATTTTCATAAATTTAAAGAAATGGCTACATCACAGTTATATGAAATCATTCTTCATGATCCAAAACGTCAAGTAGATTATACTATTCAATTAAATCATGAAGAATATTTGAGAGCGCAAAGAGGTACGTATTATTAATTATTACGAAATTGCAAACAATAATAATGAGTAATTTTATAAATGTACATGAAGAATTTGCGAACAGATTATTGTTACATGCACGAGATAACAGCACAGAGCAACAGGACCATGAAACAAATGATTCATCCCTGGACAATGAACATGAAAAAGAAAACACAAAATCCGTAATTAATGTATGGAATTATAATCAAACAAAATGTTTAATACAGTCTATGGGTAAATTACACTTAATGACTATTTTATACATATAAATTTGTTATTATATAACGAACAATAAATATTTACATTTAATTTTACTTCAAGGCACACACATTAATGATCTTAATCATCCTAAAAAAAGAAAATATGATTTTGATCATATTGTTAATGACTTGTTAAGTAATGGATACAAAGTGGATGCACAAATGGTGCAAAATAAGTGGCGAAGTCTTGTTCGAAGCTACAATAAGGCCAAGGACAATAAAAATAGGACTGGTTGTGGACCAACGAGAATTCTTTTTTACGATATTATTGATGAAATTTTAGGAGACAAACCAAGTAATAACTGTACACATTCCTTAAATTCTATAGAAAATATTACTGCACAAGAAAGTCAAGAAACAAGTGTCGAGATGTCTCCTACAAATATTTTATCAACACAAGCAATAAATGCACCAGCTGCAAGTTCATATAACGTGGGAGAGTCCGGTTTGGTTAATAATATGCAAAATTTAAAGCCAAAGAAAAAATTATCTGTAAAAAATGTTCAAAGAGAATATTTAGAAATAAAAAAAGAAGAATATACAAATAAGCAAAAGAGGCATGATGAGAAGTGTTGTCGCAGCAGAAATAAGAGTTCGTGTGAGAAATAAATGTTTATTTCCCTCGTTTTATATACAGGAATAAATACAAATGTTGCAATAATTCTTTTTAACTTTCAGTTGAAGTCAGACTACTCAGACTATAAACAACAACAAAACTCTTGTTTTTAACTTGTAGAAAAAACTTAACCATAGAACTGCACTGAATACAGAATTTAACAGAACTTTAATCTAACAGTGCCGACAACCTTAAAAACACAAATCTGGTTTGTTTCACTTTACAACAAGAAATTACAAGTACAAAAAGATAACATTGAATTAGAAAGACAAAAACTTGAATTATTGGAAAAGTACTTGCAATCAAAAAATAGTGAAAATTAATATTAAAAAAGATAAATCCTAAGTTAGATTTGAATTCTTTGTTTCATAACCTTCTGGCTGCAACATATATATCTCTTCTTCTAATGTTCCATGCAAAAATGCATTCTTAACATCAAGTTGGACAGCGCACATACTGTTTTGATTTATTAGTGCCAGTAATATTCTTACCGTAGTAAGCCTAGCTACAGGTGCATAAGTTTCTGTGTAGTCAAAATCTTTTCTTTGTGAACAACCTTTTATCACCAGTCTAGCCTTGTATCTTTCTATGTTTCCTTCTTCATCTTTTTTTAATCTTAAAAACCCATTTATTCTGTATCACCCTTTCTCCAGGTGGTAACTCGGTTAACGTCCACGTCTGGTTTTTCTCAATGGAACTTATTTCTTCTTTAATTGCCTCTTTTCATTTGTCTTTATCTTGCCTTTCATTTATTTCTTGTAATGATTGTGGTATATTTTCAAGAAATTTATGCTGCGTTTAAAGCTAGAATCACATAATCTTCAAGATAAGAAGGTAAGTTTCTTTTCCTTTCGCTTCTTCGAATTTCCACGTTTTTTATCTTATCAGTTTGACTACTGTTTTCTTCTTCCTTTAAACTTTCGTTTTCTTCCAACATTGATTCTTCTATATTGTGATTGTTTTCGTTTTCAAATATATCATATTCATATTCTTCAATATCTTTAACAGTTTTGGATTCGTCGAAAACAACATCACATCCATTAATGATAGTTTTATTACTAGGGTCCCATAGTCTATATCCATTTGGACAGTACCCCACGAGAACACACTTTACAGTTCGAGAGTCAAATTTTCCAGGATTTATTTCTTTTGGTAAATGCAAATATGCCAAACTACCAAAAACTCTCAATTTTTGTAGGTTAGGTTTATGTCCATACCACAACTCTGCAGGAGTTTTTCCTTGTAACACCCTTGTTGGACTTCTGTTTATTAAATAAACAGCTGATATAACTGCTTCCACCCACATATCTTTGTCTAAATTGGATTCCAGTAACATACAGCGTGCTTTTTCTATGATTGTTCGATTCATCCTTTCGGCCAAACCATTTTGCTGTGGTGTGTACCTAATAGTGTATTCCAACTGAATTCCTTTTTCTTCAACAAAAGACTTGATTTCATTGGTTACATATTCACGTCCATTATCACATCTAAATCGACTTATCCTTTTTTAAAAATGTGCAGTTGCCATGGCTTCATATATTTTGAAATACTTAAATACCTCAGACTTGTTTTTCAGTGGATATACAACAGTAAAATGCGTGTAATCATCTATAAATTCTAAAATATATCGGTTTCCATTGAACGACTCTGGATTTATCGGACCAAACAAATCACTGTGGATAAGTTGAAGTGGACGACTTGCTTTCACATGCTCTTTATTATGTGGTAGACAGGTTTGTTTTCCTTCCACACAAATAGAACAGATCTTATCTGACAGTTCATTTGAATTGTAACTTATTCCATCCACCATCTTACTTAAAAGTTTCATATTTCCTGTACTCATGTGTCCTAGACGTTTATGCCATAATTCTTCAGTATTTTCTTTCATAGAACATGCTTGAACATAATTTCTAGCAAGTTCTAATTCGTATAATTTATCATTTCTTACTGCAGTTGCTAATATTTTATTTCCTTTCATAATCTGTCCTTTACCACTTTCAAATACTATCTTTAAACCATTCATTTCCAGTTTTCGTACAGACAACAAGTTTAGTTCAAGACCAGGAACAAACAACACATCTTTTATTGTGACAGGAATTTCATGACCAGCAACAACTGTTTTTATTTTGACATCTCCCATTTTTTCAGCAACCAAAAACTGTCCAGACTTTGCACTTTTTATTTGCACTTTTGTTTCTAACACTCGTATGTTCTCCAAGTTTTTATCATTTTTCGTTAAGTGTTCAGACGCTCCAGAATCTAAAAACCAGTTTGTGCTATTTATTGAGCTCACACTCATGGCTGGGAAACAATAAGTTTGTTCATTTTCGGTGTCTTCCACACTAACTTTAGCTTCTGCCTTGGAATTTCTATCAAACTTTCTCACTGGTTTCTTACATTCTGATTTCTTGTGACCAACAATACCGCAGTTATAACACTTATATCTGAATTTTTCGTAGACTTTAGAATTCTTTCCTGCCGATGATACAAACGCAATGCTTTGTTGTCCTTCATTCTTCAGTTTTGGTTTTGTACATCTTCTTTTTGATTCTTCTTCGAGAAGACGACTTTTAACGAATGCCAATGTTAAATTATCTGCTGACAAAGTTTCTAATGCTGTAACAACAATATCATACTCATTTGGCATTGTCAAAAGTAAATGACAAACTACATCTGTCTCTTCTAACGTAGCACCAGTTGATCGTAACTCTCTGATTAATTTATCAAATTTTAAGAAATGTGCTTCCATTTGCATGCTACTTGCATTAAACTTTAACATTAGCAACGACTTTCTAAGTAGTAATTGCCTAGCCACTCCTTTTCTTTCAAACGTATTGTATAAATTTGACCACATTTCATATGCAGTTTCAGCATCTTTAACATATTCGAGGTGACTATCTGCTACTCTCTGGACAATCTGCAATCTACATTTCCTATCTTTCTTTTTCCATTTTTCTAACTCTGCTTCTTTATTTGCTTTAGTATCTACAGAATCTGTTTCCAGAAATCTTACTTTTCCTGTATACGGTTCATCAACTAATTCCAAAAGCTCGAAGTCCTCAAGCAAAGTCTCCATACGAAATTTCCAATTATTGAAATTATTTCCATCAAACAAAGGAACTTTTACACGTTCTTCCGGAGTACCCGCCATTTTTCCTTTTTAAAGCTTTTGCTCTTATATTCCTTATTCCAAAAACGTTGGCACTGGGCCCATAACCTGTTGTCGCAGCAGAAATAAGAGTTCGTGTGAGAAATAAATGTTTATTTCCCTCGTTTTATATACAGGAATAAATACAAATGTTGCAATAATTCTTTTTAACTTTCAGTTGAAGTCAGACTACTCAGACTATAAACAACAACAAAACTCTTGTTTTTAACTTGTAGAAAAAACTTAACCATAGAACTGCACTGAATACAGAATTTAACAGAACTTTAATCTAACAGTGCCGACAACCTTAAAAACACAAATCTGGTTTGTTTCACTTTACAACAAGAAATTACAAGTACAAAAAGATAACATTGAATTAGAAAGACAAAAACTTGAATTATTGGAAAAGTACTTGCAATCAAAAAATAGTGAAAATTAATATTAAAAAAGATAAATCCTAAGTTACCTTTAAACAGATTCTAGTGTATTTTACTTTCCCTTTTGTGATATTTTGTTTTTGTTATATTTATTTATTTTTATGTAATAAAACAAGAAAAAAAATTAAAATTTTTATTTTCTAAATGTTATCTATTATTTTATTTAATAATTCTTGCTGCCTATTGATATTTTCAGAAATAACTTGACCATGGTTACGTTCCGGTCCCGGTTGATTATAATCTTCAGTGGATTCTGTTTCAACTTCGTCACCCTCTTCCAAACAAATATTATGTAAAATGCATGACGACATAATTTCCGATTAAGTTTTTAAATGTATATTGTCCAATTTTCTCAGTCTTCTGAAACGACCTTTTAGTAATCCGAATGCATTTTCAGCAACTACTCGAGTGGCTGAGACTTTATAATTTAATAGTTTTTGATGTTCGGACAAATGCCCATTATCTTTAAATGGTGTTACTAACCATTTTAAGTTCGGATAGGCAGTATCTCCTAAGAGCATATTATTACATAGACAAATTTCATCATTAGAAATCTTATTAAAAATTGCTGACTTTCTGAGAAGCCGAGCATCATGTATGGCTCACCACAGAAAACGTCAATGAATTTTTTGTTGTGGTCAACAATACCTTGTAACAAAATACTGTGATACCCTTTTCTATTTATATAAGCCTCTTGATTTGCTTTTGGTTTGCCTATTTCTATATGGCTCCCATCAATGGCACCTAACACATTTTCAATCCCTTGAATATTTCGAAATCCATTATTAATCTTTTTAATTTGATCTCCAGTTGGCCATTGTATGTACTAGGCTTTAAGACTAATAATAAATTTTAGAATTCTTTTTAGAGTCCTATGAGCACTGCTTCTTGAAACATTAAACCTATCAGAAACTTGTTTAAATGTTTCTGTGTTGCTTATGTACCAAAGTACCATAAGAAAAGCTTTCTCAGACGAAATTTTTTCTCTTCCATCAGGATGATTAGGTAAATAACTGGACTGTTAAGTAAATCTATAAGAAATATCATCAATATCAAATAATGTACAAAATAAAAACATTTCTTACGTATTAGCTTATACGCAGTACCTCTAGTCATTCTGAAATGAGTTTTAAATATTTCATTAAAATAATTGCGCACAACATTTTCTACATACAAATTTATTTTAGCGATTGGCTTTTTTTCTTTCACCAAATTATCCACTCCTCTTTGGAAACATAAAAAGTCTTCTTCACACTTGAATCTGATGTGGATGATGATGAATTTGCGGTACTTTCAGAAGAATCTAAAAGAACCTGTAGCGTAAAAGGTAAATGTTTAAATGGGTACATAAAAGGAATTATTTTCGTCTTACCTTAAGAATTAAATCAGATTGTTTATTCATTACAAT